CGTTCGCTGGAAAGGACTGGATTTTTGGAATCAAAAATGCTAAACTAAATACTGTCAGTCGCTGAATAGCACGACGACATTTAGGAAATCTGCCGACGTTTCGATACTCCTGACAGCTGAAGTCGAATTCCGCTGAAAAGTGGCGCTGATAGTACGAAACCATGATCATTAAATCGCACACGGTTACTCCAAGTTGTATGTCATGTAGGATATATTAGAATAAGCCATTCACTGTTTGTAGCATACATCACAAAAGGCCTCTCCATTGAGGAGAAGAAGAAGATGATTACAAGGAATGGTTTCATACGTGAGAGATGGGGGGGAGCTGATGGCGAATTATCCGCACATTACGAAGTATCACGTGAACTGTATGTTCCGCAGTTCAAGTCTATTACACTGACGTTAAACTTTTTCCAAGTGGCGCAGTGTCGGACTCGCACAGATGTAAATATTAAATTAATTGACTTGATTGAAAGCAGATAAATGCTCCGTATATTTGAGAATATTCATACTGAATTAACATAAAATTTTTTTTCTTGACTTCTTGATTTTATCATCTTTACTTGCTCCTGAAATACACCCCTTTGGACGGGTAAGATTGTGTAAAAAGTCACAGCATCATTCATTGATTGAATTGAGATAATTATGGTTTGACTCATTTCACATCACATAAACGTTTACGCAATAATTTGCATAAATTTGCTCTTTATAAGCTCGTTCGTCCGAGGCAGTTTAAAATATCATCCGTTATCCTAATTCTTTAGTGCTGTTATATATAGTTATGCAGCAGTTTAGAAGACGTCATAAATTTGTGTCGCCACGCTAAAATCGCAGCATATCTGATATCAATTCCCACCACACATTTATGGGTCTTTCTTGGATAGCTTTCCTGGAATACTCACCAACAGAAACTACGTAAGAAAGGCCATGTCCACCCTTTAAGTCTTTCCTTATATAGTGTAGATCTTCTTACTCTCCTTTATTAACTAAAATATTTATTTTACCGATCAGCAAAGTTTTTAGGTCACAGATACACTTTATATACGGAAGAAGAAGATGCGATCACTGGAACAAGGACTTTATTTTCCTGACCTTTCGGATTCCCTCGGGAATCCGAAACGTAAGGAAAATGAAGTCCTTGTTCCAGTGATCGCATCTTCTTCTTCTGAACTGCTGCCTGGAACTCTTATATTCTCCTCTATTGACTTTATATACGGTCAAACATACATCTCTGTGACTTTATTTCTTCCCTTCCATTTGCCTATAACCCTATAATAATGAATCCTCAGTAGTTACAATCAGTTAAGGGAAGAGTGGCCTTGCCCATTTTTGCATCTACTCGACTTCATAATGAAAGGTTACCTTCCCGTACGTTGACATTTGAGACTGTTAAATCATCATCGCAGAAATATGTCAATTATTCTTACTAAAGTACATTGGAACATCACTTGTTAAGTGTAAGGAAAAGCTGACTATGAACACTTCTGACCAAGACGCGCAAATGCACATAACCCGATGGACTAGCGGATACAATTTTATTGACTACCGTAAATTCTATGATTTAGTGTTTTGGTCTGTTCGCGAATATAACAAACCTTATAATATTCGGGATTAAGTTAATTAATTAAAGTTGCTAAAGGTCCTACAAGTCTAGGTATCAGTAAACGCTTATGCCCTCTACAATTGACGTCCTCCTACCTGTTTTGAAAACTCTACCTCTCCAACTGCCAGTGTTCGAAGGCTAGATACTGGGTGATTATTAGGTAAATTATGTCCCTTTAGTCACTTTTGGGCTTGTTCAGTCCATTTAAGTTAACATTTTAATAAAATTAATTGCATGTTATTATGACTGCATTAAACTTTGAAAATTGACACTCGCAATTAAAAAATATGGTGAATTTTGGAAAATACTTGCCCATTTCTTTGCTCGCTTTTAAAAGTTGAAAGCTGTTTCTTCGTCACTGTAGGGGTAAGCTTCCCAAATGGAAATATGAATTTTGCTGCGATAAAGTAGGCATTTCACAAAAATAAATCCACAGTGAATCCTCTCAGTTGCCAAGGAGGAGTACATCGGGCTTCGGTCTGGCTAGATTTTTCTGAGATTTTACGTTCTTTTTTTTCTAATATCGAGTATTTGATATACTTCAGCTACAAATACCACTGCATTCATACTTTCCTATGGCAATCAGTTCAATGTAGCCCGTTAGAACAGGCTATTTTTCATACTTACCTACCCACAATAAAAAAACGCTTCTAGAAGAATGGAAAGCGCGCTCTTTCACAGCCAACTTAGTCGAGTTTAAAAGCCAGAAATGGCAATCTAAATAAGGTTTTAAACTAACATTTCAGAACGAATTGTTATTTCTTCTACTGCTACGTAATGCTGACCTGTCGACACTCAAATTTAGGTCGTTTACCAGATCAGAGCATCTCTTAACTTCGTAGACAAAGCTAAAAAGTTAACGGGACCATCCTAGTGGGTTATGAGTCGAAAACAAAGTAATGGTTAAAATGTAGGTGTTCAGACCATTTAAACCCCCGAGAAATCAGTTTTACAGTTGATTAAAACAAGTAGCCTAGTGCAATATGTATTTCACCGGAGGCAGATTTACCCTCAGAATTAACCCGCTCAAAAGTGTCGCACTCTGTAGAAAAAAACTGTTTCTTCGTTTGAAAGTCTTTGCATAGCAAAGGATCATTTTATGTCAATGTCCACTCTCGGCTGCATCCGAAATAAGTAATGTTTCAAAAACAAATTTTCCGATAAATACCACTATTGCCAACTACGACAACTTTTCAGTAAACAATAAGCACTAGTTTCTATAGCACTTATAATAAATACCTATTGCAGTCTTCTCTTCATAATGTGTGTCGCGTAATTTTAGTATCATCGACAAGAGAGACGCACCTCTATGGCTACGACTATTGACACCGCCCAGCAGAACTATCACAATTACTGCAACACGCTGATATTCTTGAACTCCGCTTTTACAGTCATGTTCTCTGTCGAATGTGTACTGAAGATCATGGCATTTGGTCCCAAGGTAAGCAGACATTTACGATCAAACTTCAGAGCAACTGAAGGCCACTCCTTGAGAGTCTCGATGACCAACGAATATAACTTTTTTTCTCGCCTTTTTAAAAAGCAACTAAGCCTTTGGGACCTTACAGATTTTGAAGAGTGTATATGAAATTAATAGTGCCGGTCGTTGCTGCCCTAAGCTAATGGTCTAGGTAACTGACCAATGAGTTTTTAAATTAAATTCTTTTAGTGTTAGAAATGTGTAAACATGTTTAAGTAGTTCTCCGCAGTCCTACAGTTGTATTTGATATTTAGTGTGGATGACTAAAATAATTCGGAAGCATGTAACTTCCCAACGAATGCAGATGTTCAGTTAAAAATAAGATGTTAATTTTAATAAAATTGCATTTTTTGAATATAATCAGGCAAGCCTGCTCACAAACTGATAAAATAGCGAAAATGCGTCGGCGTATGGATTTGCTTTGCTCAACTGTCCAACGCAAAGTCAGTGAGCCATGACGACAGAAAAAGGTATTTTAAAATTGATATAAACAACATATTAACGGAAGCAGCAAGCATGATTCTATGCTAATAAGATTTTAAGGGACTCATTCACGTAAGATGAAGATATTTGTTTTGAGAAAGGTTAGATTTACTTTCATTAAATTAGCAAACCGAATTTTACTCCAAATAATCTGATATGTAAGCTAGGATGTCTCGCTCTGTAAAATGTCGCATTTAGACTTTTAATTCGAGTGTGTAAATACGCCTACCATAGGCACAGAACAAAAACTTTCAGTCCTGATTCAGAAAGTACAACCGAACTTTCATGAGCCTTTAACGAATACTTTTTATATTTTAACTATCAACGCAACTATGCTTCGACAAAATTGTGAAGCAGCAGTTTGCTAATATAATATGCTTCTGAAACGTTTGAGTCTATCGGTTTCTGATGTGTTAACCAACAGCAGCCAAGCAGGTCTGACCGTTTACAAACAAATCTATGATCTAGACCTTAACGCATTTTTTTCAGTATATCAAATAGCAAGTCACTTAAACTATAGGCACGTGTTCTACCGATTGTAGATAGAAACATCCAAAGCATGTTAGGATGGTTTACACTTATATATCCTATTTTCAGGATCAAATGCAGATGAACAGTCGAAAAATATTTGCACGCAATCTCCCACCTTCCCGTATGCAGTTCTGTGTGATCATTTAATGACATTCATACGCTTTCTATTGTTTAAAGTGCGGTGATCACAGTTTAACATTATTTAAGAAATAGGAAATGTGGAATACCATTTGACCTCATCTGTGCATGACCATGCCTATGTTTTCATCACCTATGATTAAGGATTCCCGAGGGAATCCGAAACGTCAGGCAAAGAAAACTCTTGTTCCAGTGATCGCATCTTCTTCCTCTGAACTGCTTCCTGGGACTCGAATATTCTCTACTATTAGCAATATCATTTATGTTGTCGCTATTATGGATAAGCTTCTTATTTTCTTAAAAAGCCTTCACGATTTCGTCTCAACTGTCTACATCAATTCGTTGAATGTTCGCCTGTTAACAATCTTCCCAGTCATTATGCTTATTTCAGAATTATTTTCGGGATCGCTGGAATATTTTTGACTTCATTACCGTCATTGGAAGCATCACGGATGTCCTCGTCTCCGAACTGCAGGTGCGTAATGGGCCTTTACATACTTCTTTAATTATAAGTTAGACCACTGCATTTAAACCAGACAGTTTTTTTGGAAATTGGTTCGTTTTCCAGACGTCTAAATGTGCTTTTTAGTATTATATTTTTACAAAAAATTACTTAGGAGCGAAATTCATCTAAGTATTTGTCGTGTATAAGTGGTACTATCTGACTGAGTAATACAAATCGAGCATCTTGCGGAAATTGAAATCTCGAAGTAACTGTTACATAAAATAATTACGAATTTAAATAGTTTGTTCCACCACAGAGAATAATTGAGGCAAGAAATTAAGGGGTTAATATTTGAAACCGAGTCTTTCTGGTCGTCGATACGAGCAGGTCGCACTTAGCAAAATGCTAAGTGTACGCAAGCCGTGAGTTATCTCGAATTCTTTTTTTTCAATCATCGGAAATTTCATTTCTCCTCCTAAGCACTAGCAAATATTAAATATGTATGTTGCACAAGACGACACTTTCAGGTGATCGGGATTTAGGTGAACCGAAAAGTCAAGCTTAAATATTCCCTACAAACTAAATTGACAATACCATGAACTGTATAGTACAGCCCTAACGGCTACACAATCTTGCAGGAATGTTCACTCGAAAATCTCGAGGTCAGGTGGAAGGCGGTTGTGATGACACTGTTGTGTGCTCTTGCGTTCTTTCATTTGTCAGGTTTATCAAGGTTCTTCTTTTCCTGATATTTTTCATAGTGTCTTCTAGACCACCGTATCAACTCGACAGTGGTTTAGGTACGCTTGCCTTGTGGGCTCCACGAATCTTCCCGTACATATGACGACGGCTACGGAAAACGAGGTCCTGCGTGATCTTGACAAACTTAACCTTCTCTTTCGCCAGCATGTACTGGTGCTTCCTATCTATTTCGCTTTCGTGTGAGATGCATGAAGCCTAGGATGTAAAATGTAGGGGATTTCTGTGCAACTTTTTGGGTAGAGACTTTTACGTCTATAACACGCCCTCGCTGGTCAGGTAATCTCTCCTAGATACGGATCCGACCAAGGATTCGGAGTCAATTTCTTCAAGATGTATTCACAACCATGATTCAATATCTCTTGTCCAAGCATCTGATGACAAATTGGGCTAAAATATTGGGATATGTGAAAGGCCTTGAAGACAAAATGTTTCTTTCTGCTAAATTTATGGCTACCGATAGGTCAATCCTCAAGAAGTGGAAGTCTCAACTAGAGAAGTATCAGGACTTCTGTGGAATAATTCTTCCTAGTGGTGATAAACAAAGTATGTGTTCAGGAGAAGAAGATGCGTTCACTGGAACAAGAGTTTTATTTGCCTGACGTTTCGGAGTCCCTCGGGAATCCTTAATCATAGGTTATGATAAGAAAGGCATGGTCATGCGCAGATGGGGTATGTGTTAACATTGGCTGAAAGTAAAACGATAACATCAGGAGTATGGATAACCGCAGAAATGCGGCTGGGCGACAGCTAAAGAATGGGCATTCTGACGGCCCACCGGAGGCATAAGACCTTTCAAACCATTCTAGGTTGATGGGTAAGTGCAATTAAAAGCCAGTGAAAAGATTCACATTTAGCCTGTCAAAAGACCGGTCAGCATCAGCTAGCGGCCGGCTGACCGCGATGTGCTTATTTCGCAAAAGAGTAAACTGAGAGAAGTATATCAGTCAGACGTCCTCTTTAGAATTATTGTTAAAGTAAGCGAAGCTTCGACCTGCAACTTATCAAAATACATCCTTTTTGTGATAAAGCACATTCTTGTCTAGACAAAGGCCACTATCCCGAAGAATAAATCTATATGACTCATGAATTAATACTACTTGACGCCACCTTGATCTTAAAAGAGTTTTCGGATATGCGGCAACAAGTTGTAAAAGACCTACTAGACAGTGAAAAGGACAGGAGTGGCATGAAAATAAAATGGCCTCATCTAATTCAAAATTTAATTGAATGTCTCAGAAGTCACTTAACATTTGGCAGTAATATACTTGACATAAATTAGACTTACGTTTTCTGCCCAAGAGGAGACCATATATATATATATACATGAACTTTGTTTAGTTCGGAAGCCTATTC